TGAATATCTTCTTTTTGGTCATAACTGAACATTTTTTTGTCCCAGACTAGTTTTTTTTGTCAGGAAAAATTTCTACCCAACAGACATAAATAATTGACGCTGAAAAATTGATTACTTGCAGACATTTTTTTTGGAACGACTTGATTTTTTAAATTGGATTGTTTGTTTTTGTATTGCTCTTTTCACAAAAATTTATTCTCCTCTTTTTCACTTAGGTCGTAACAGTTACTAAAAAATTTGACAATTGATTGGTGAATCAAATTTCTCCAAAAAATTGATAACTGGAAAATGTCAGTTTAAAGCACTGGCAGGTACCTTCATTTTGGTCAAAATTGAATAAATTTTTCTCTAAGACGTGCTTTTTTGTCTGGAAAGTTTCTTACAAACATATGATTGATGCTAAAATGATTGATGCTTTTAAAGTTTTTTATCCCCGTTTTATCAATTCAAAACTAATTTTTGTCAAAAAAAATTCTTTCATGGTAGGATTATTAGAAAGACAAATTTGTTCTAAAACAGAATTCCAAAACAAGGACTCACCGTAAACTATTTTTTTCTCTCGTCTGATTGCAAAATTACTTTAGATATTTAATGCATGATTCCAGTTTTTTTTGACAACATTCTCTTTTTTCAAAAATCCCTATAATTTAGGGCTTACTGACTTACTTAACATGTTTCTTGCGATTCTTAAGAATCTGAAACTTTTTTAATTTTCTTTGTTTTCTTTCCCAAGTATTGGCAACAGACCATAAGTCTTAGCTTCAGTTGGATCATTTTGGGACTATACGTTCCTCAATGCAGAAAAATTAAAGTCAAGAAGAAAACAAGAAAAAATTTTTGTTCAATTGTCAAAAAAATGATCATTTTTGAGCCAAAAAAATTTACCAAAAAACAAAAACAGGAGAGAAGAGGCTGTATCTAAGCAAAATGTTTCTGCTATCAGCAACATGATGATGTGACAAGAAAAAGAATCAGATAAAAAAAGTAATTTTGGTTTTTTAGCGAGGCGTGAAATTAACATCGCTCAAATTAAATTGAGTTTTTGTTTTTCTTCTCCAAAGACCTCCCAAATTCATAAACAGGTTCACTGAATAGCCACAACTGATGGTCCATAAGTGTATCTACCGCCACCTCGATACTACCAACTGGAATTTTGTGTTTTTGTTTCTCTATTCGAAAACTTACAATACACAAATCGACAAATCGTTGTTAGATTCTTTTTGAACTGAAGGCTCTTAAAGTTTCTTTGATAAATGTTCCAGGTTGAACACATCTTATTCAAACGTGCAAACTGCTGATATTTACCCTATGGCAGATAACTTTTGTTTTCGACAAAGCGTATGATATTTTTTGAGTGTCTTCAAAACTTACAACAACTGGTCCTTTTGAAATGAGATTAAAGTTTTTTAAACCGATGGCAAACAGCGGTTTGGCTCAATGCTCTTTTTTCATATCTGTCGCGAAAAGAACTTCCGAGTAGAGTTAAACTGCCCACAAAAACCATCCCGGTCGGCAAGTTTTGTAATCAGCGTCTGATTAAAACACAATTTTGTCGACCAGGAGTCGCAAAACATTATAAAACACACAATAATCATAAGAACAGTTGTAGCAGGAAGAAGGCAAGTAAATTAGTCGGAACGATGTGTAACTAGACATAGTTTATACAACTCACTAGTCAAAAAGGATATTTTATTCAAAACCAAAACAAAAAATAAACGTTATACTGTTTGCCAGTTTGTTTGAAACCAAAACGAAACAAGACTGCTTGTATCAGGGCGAAGCCCTGATTGTTCCGACTGCTTTTTAAGGTCTACGGAGTAGTAATAGAATGAAAAAATGATATGTACAAAATTTTTTTGAAAATCATCCCCCACATGCCATATAAAGTGCAAAGTGATAAATTTCGCTCCAAGTAACAAATCAAATATTGTTCAGACTTTCAATACGAAAAGAACGGAATATTTGTGCTCGGGGTGGGTTTTTTTCTTCAGACAAATTTCGACTTTTTAACTAGCCGTTTTTGACGGATTTTGTTTATATCATTGAAAAATTATTGTTGTCCTGAGCTTAAATTTGAAAAGATACTTTGTCTGTAATCATTTTTGTAAAGTTATGGGGGTTTAAAGATGGCCAATTGGGGACAATTACCGAGCGATATATTTCGCGCTATTAACGCGTCAGCGAGATTTAATCCGTCTCAGAAAGCGTTCCAAAATGTTTTAAGGAAGCTTATATACCATAATTAATTTGTTAATAGGAGCCAAGTCTATCACTTTGTACTCAATATGACGTGTGGGGGATGTTTTTACTAAAAATCTTAAATTTTGTTTATTACATTTAAACTTTCCAGGTTATTACTGCTCCATAGACCTTAAAAGGCAGCCAGAACATTCAAGGCTTCGCCCTGATACGAGCAGTTTTGCTGCAATTAAGTTTCCTTCAAATAATTTGGAGCGATTTCTAAGACGGAACAATACTCCGCTTACGCCTTAATAGCGCGAAATATAATGTGCGTTAATTGTTCCAAGTTGGCCAAAATGCAATCTTTAAACCCTCATAACTTAACGAAAAATAACCACAAGTAGAAATTTTTTTTTCAATTTTGACCTCAGGACAACAATACCTTTTGAAAGATTTTTAAAAAATTCCACAAAAATGGCTAAATAAAAAGACAAATATTGCCTGAAGAAAAAAACCCACCCCGAGCACAAACATTCCGTTACTTTCGTTACGGAAGTCGGAACAACGAGGGCTTTGGTTGTTGAGCAACTGGCGTAGATTTCTCCGGTCGTTTAAAAAAACAGCAAACAAAATTGTGTCCTTTTTAGAAATTTAATATCGTTTTTTTTTCGTGTGTGATTTCATGAGAAAACTATATAAACAAGTAGACAAATTGCAAACTGGACTTAAATGACGAAAATGGTTCTAAAGTGAACAAGACTGCTCGTATCAGGTTAAGGTTTATGGAGCAGTAGTAACATAAAAAAAATTAAATTTAAAGAAAATAAATTTAAAATTGTTTTTTCAAAAATTTGAAAATTTTTATGAAATCATCACCCTAAATGCCATATAAAGTTCAAAAAAATAAATTTTGCTCCTATTAACGAATCAATTCTGGCAAATATGCTTTTTTCAACCAATTTGGAACGATTGAATCTCCGCTCACGCGTTAATAGACCGAAATATATCGCGCGTTAATTGTCCTAAATTGACCAAAATGGCAATCTTTAACCCCCATAACTACTTTTAAAAAAATGATCACAGGTGAAATATTTATTCAACTTTAAGCTCAGAACAACAATACCTTTTGAATAATTTAAAAAAATTCCGTCAAAAATGGCTAGATAAAAAGTTGAAATTTGTCTGAAGAAAAAAAAACCCACCTCGAGCACAAATATTCCGTTACTTTCGTATCGAAAATCGAAACAATAAAAAAACAAAAATAATGAAAAAATCCAAAAACAATTAGAAGGAACGTTTTTTCCAAAATAAGCGCTTATTCATTTTCTAAAACTAGTATCGTCTGAAAAACGTTTTTTACTAGCCTGACGACCAATTATCCAAAAAAAGAATCGGTGCTCGATCGCATTACTCGTTCGGTCTGACTAAAAGGACATTAAAATGATCAATGACCCAAATTTTTTCAGTAATTATTTTTGCATGGAAAACAAGGAATAGGAACAACGAAACAAGGTTAACCCATTTCTGTAAAATAAGCACAGAATATTCTGGCCAAAATTTGAAAAGAACTACCTTAAAATGTTTCAGCGGTTAATTCGCGACACTGAATTTTTTTTTGGAAATTAATTAATGTTGTTCAGATCTGCGCAAAGACGGATTTTATAAGTTATATCACTGCACCCATTCCAAAGATTATTTGTGGTGCCATTTTCTGACTGGAAAAAAAATAAAAAATAAAGTAAAACACACGAGAACACAAGTTTCCTCCCCATTTGCGGGGAATTGAACTGCTCTAAAACTTAAAAAATTTAGTTTCCTTTTTGCAAGTATAGTTCTTTTCTGCAACTAAAGCTTAGCGTTTTGTTCCGAGTTTCGATACGAAAGTAACGGAATATTTGTGCTTGGGGTGGGTTTTTTTTCTTCAGCCAAATTTCGACTTTTTAACTAGCCATTTTCGACAGATTTTTTAAAATATCATTCGAAATGTATTGTTGTCCTGAGCTAAAATTTGAAAAGATATTTCACCTGTGATCATTTTTCGTAAGGTTATGGGGGCTTAAAAGTTGCCATTTTGGCCGATTGGGACAATTAACGCGCGATAAATTTCGCGCTATTAACGCGTAAGCGGAGATTTAATCTGTCTTAGAAATCGTTCCAAATTGGTTGAAGGAATTTTAATTGCTTTAATTGATTTGTGAAAAGGAGCGAAATCTATCTTTTTATACTTTATATGGCGTATGGGAGGTTGATTTTCATAAAAAATTTCAAATTTAGAGAAAAAAAATTTTTCTTTTTGTTTTATTACATTTTTTTTGTTATTACTGCTCCATAAACCTTAAAAGGCAGTCGGAACATTCAGGGCTTCGCCCTGATACGAACAGTCTTGTCTTCAATTTATATGAGACTATCCCTGTTTGTTTTTTGTTAACTAGCAGATGCAGAAAGAAGTAGCCATTTTGTCTATTAAAAGTATACCGGCTGATTAGCTATTAGCTTCGATTTTTGAAGAGTTTACAATCAAAAGTTATTTCTATTTGCTCTCTAGGTCTGATTTTGGAATGACAATCTGTTCAAAAAGTTGCCTGCAAGACTTATCAACAAAATACCACCACCTAATTGAAAATTCAAATGAAAATGGCTTTCGATTTCTACAAAGCTTTCTAGTTGAAAAAAAAAATGTTTTCAGCCTCACAATCTTTTCAGTCTCGCAACCAAATGCTCGGCCAATTGAATCGAATATTGGCATATTCAAAATTGATTTGTGTTGTTATGAAGTTAAGAAGACATGAAGTGGAAGGAAAGAAGGAGTTGCGACTCACTTTCGTTTGGCTGACTTCTGGTCTTGATGCTGGCTGGAATTCGCACTCCTCTCTGCGTATGTTGTAGTAGGTCCAATTACAGCTGCAAAATGAAACAACTTTCATCCGAAATTCTGAAGTTCTCCAGATATTTCAATCTGTTTTTACTAAAACTCATTAGCTACAATGTTCCATGGATCTATGCTTTTTATGCACTTCTCGTCGAACTTAACATATATGTTTTTGTGAAAGATACGTTCAAAAAATTGAAATTGAGCAAGGCTGTCGAGGAAAAGGTCACTAGACCACATGAGGAGAAGTTCCACACAGGTTTTGCAGTCTCACTTACTGATGCTCTGCTTGGGACTATCCTGTTTGATATTGAGGTGAACGGGAGCTCCCCCGTTCTGATTCACACACGTGGGCTCCTCTTTCTCCGCCCTTGCCCCTCCCTGCAGTGTCCTGTTTTCCCGAATCCTTCTCTTCCCCACCTTTGGACTGGAACCTGCTGCTGTTGTAGTTGGAGTTGGAGTAGGATGGTTCTTCTCACATACAGTGGCCTCTCTGATCCGGATCAAGGGAAGGGTGGTGGTCGTTTTTGTCTTTGCTTTTGATTTTGTCTCCAGGTTGCGGATGACCTGTCAACCGGAAAACCAAAACACTTTTCAAACATTTTGGTAGGTTTTGTGTGGCGTTTTTGTTTGTAGTTGTGAAGCTGCAGTTTTGAATGAACTTGTTTATTGTTTGTCCGCCACCTACTACCCTCGATAATAAAATACAGGAAGATCGCGTTACCTGAAGGAAGGCAAGTTTGAGTTGAACTCTTTATGATTTGATTGAACCCATTTATTGAGGTTGAAAATAAAAACGGATGTCTCGCTTCATTGACGGAGAAGTTTTAGAAACGTTGTAGCATGAGTTTGGCCTATCGAGAAATTTTAAGTGTTTTAGAGTGCGACCTTGAGTTTAGTTTGTCGCTCGTTGCGTTTGGACAGTCGCTTGGCCACCCTGTATATCTGGATGTAGAGGGCGATGATGATGAACAGTGGCACCCAGAATGACATGACAGCTATGGCCACATTGAGAGTGACGTTCTCCTGGTATGGCACGTAGCAGTCGCTCTCCGGCACTGGGGGAGTACCCGCTGAACAAAACACAAAACGACGAAATTTCAATGAAAAACAAATATTACGATTTTGTAAAACATACAAGAAGCTGTGAAGACCATTCATTATCCACTTCGCTTAGAAACATAAGCTAACTTGGCTTATAAAAAAAAGATGCAAAATAAACAATTTTAAGTTTAAAAATTGCTTAAAGTATTTTTTTAAATTTACTGTTAAGCTTACCGCAAACAATCAATAACTTTCCCCAAAAGTTAATGCCCAAAACTTATTCTATGAGTGTTTTTCATTTAATGAACATCACTTCAAAACTAATTCGAAACTTTGGTTACTCTTGGAATACGTAACGTTGAGTAAGCGGAAATATTTTTTGAAGTAAATTTGACTATTGAATAATATAAATAATCTATTGGTTGAAGAATTTCAAGTTCTAGATAATGAAGACTCAATAATCCATGTTCAACAGCTGCTGCATTCAAGTTTACAGACTGATTTAACAACTGATTAATTCGACAACTGCGGTGATTTTAAATGAGTTTACTTAGAGTGGAACCTACACAAAAGCATATTTTTAGGAGTTTTTTTGGGTCACAAAGTTTGTAGGCCTAAATTGAACGATAATAATTTTGCTAAAATTTATTAGATAGAAATCGCTTTGTTTTTTTTTATGATATGACTTCAAATGCTAAAAAGTTTTTTTATATTATTTTTTCCAAATATGGAAGTGAGGAGGAATTTTGTCTTCAGGTTCTTTCTTTTTTAAAGCAAAACCGGTTATCATAAATAACCATTACAATATATTGGTTGATATACCATGTTCAAACATTTTCGGCCTTGGTTCGAATGGCATTGAATAAATTGATATAAATATCTGTGTACAGTAAAATATGTTGGAAAAGTTTGGCCTGCAAGCAAAAAAAAAAACAGCCGCAGCTTAATTCTCTTATATTTTTAAGTTGCAATAAAAACCACTCATACAATGCAAATTTAAAAAATGAAAATATAATGACAACACCCACACATATTCCGTTCTTATTTTTAAAGTAAAAATGTAAAACTTAATGCAAAATACAGATTTTTGAAAAAAAAAGTGTCTATTACAAAAATATTTTCTCTTCGAGTCAGGTTACTGGCGTAATTTCTATAACAAAAAATTTTGTCAGTGAAAAAAGTATGACAGCAGCATAGATTTATAGCCTATCCACTAAGATATGTGCCCTTTGGTTGAAATAAAAAATCTAGCTTTCGTTTCAAACTGAAATTAGGCAAGACAATTTATTTATTGTTCCGACTTTCGAAGAAAACAGAATACTTATGCTCGGTGTGGTTTTTCTATTCAGTCAATTTTCACCGATTAAAAAATTTAATTTCAAAAAAACAATTATACCCCATTGAAGATATTTACTTCTTGAGTTCAAATGTCAAAAGATTTTCAACTCCGATCATTTTTTTCAAAAGTTCTGGGGCTTGAAAATTGCCAAAATTGCCTGCCATGTTCTGAACTAAGTTATGCGCGCTTTGAAGATTTGATTGATAATGCTGAGAGCATCACGCGAAGTATTCATGCGTGGAGAAATATCCCGTACAACAAAATCGTTCCAAATTGAATAGAGGCTAGCTAATTGGTCGTATTAATTTCTTACGACTCGAAATTTTGCTCTTTGATGTTGTCGAAAATGTATAGGTTTTCAATATTTTCTTTTCCCAAAAACTATTCGATATGAAATAAGGAACAGTCGGATTGTTTAGGGCTTTGCTCTGATATACGAGCAGTCTCGTTTATTTCTTAAATTGACTCGAAGCTATCTCAAAATAGACTCAAAGTTATTACAAATCCTTATGATGATAGTAGCTGTTTAAAAATTATAAACCATAAAAAAACTTAAAACTAACATATTTTGAGACTATTTACAAGGCAGTCAGAACCTTCAGGGTAGTCAGAAATTTCGGACCCTGATATAAAAGCAGTTTTGTTATTCCAACTCTTGGGAGTGCTTTGGGTGTTTTTTTTATTCAGTCGTTTTTTGTCATTTGTAGAAAATCTTTGTACTGAGCTCAGAAAAAATATGTTTCGCCTGTGACTTTTTTGTGCAGAGCTACATTAGATCGAATTTGGGAGTATTTTGAGGACTCCATTTCAAATTGGGTTTATTAAAGCGTGCTACATGTTGTGCTAATGAGGCGTGGAAGCCTATTTAACAAGCCTTAGTAATTGTTCAAATTTTATGTGGGGCAAGTTTTTTTGGAATTTTTAACGTGTTGATAGAAATTTAGTACATTCTCGAGATATTTATAAAACGTGCGCGTGGGTATATATTTCCCAATAAAAGTTCTATAAAACAGTTTTATCATCAATTTTGAAACTTTATCATTTGTTATATTTGATCAGAAGATGATTTATTCCTTTTCGTGGCAGTCGGAATCTTCAGTGCTCTCCCTTGATACTAGCAAACGTTCTATAGTCTCCGTTAGATTTTGACACCGTGAGCTAAAATTTTTAAATATGATCAAAGTGGAATGATTAATGCTATCCCTTTTTCTCAAAACGCTTACATAGGCTCCGAAATAACTTGGCTCAACAATCAGTTAAATTTTAATTGAGGAAAAGCCTGCTTCAGTTTAATTTGGCATTACTAGAAGCAACAAAAATTATTTGAACATTGAGTGTAGCCTAAACATTCTGTTCCCTAAACAATAAACATTTAAGAGTAACAAGAAAGTCAAACTTTTCTTCTGATACAATCATTTTTCCTCTTCATTTGGTTATTACTAACTACTTTTTCTTTTGAAAAATGATGATCAATTTGAGCTGGGTGTTTTTTCTCCAGACAAGTTTAGGTTTTTTAATTAGCAATTTCTTGTATCACCCGAAAAGTAATTTTTTATATTATTCGAAAGTATTGTGTCAAGAGCTCAATTTAAAAACTGTCTCGGCTGTAATTGTTTTCCGTAAAACTATGGGAATTTAAATGGGGTTACTTTATGGGGATACTTTACTTAGCGTAAATGAATGGTTTTGGAAACAATATTTAAAAAATTATTTTGTCCTTTTTTTTGAAAATTTTATATAATTTGTTAATTTGATGTGTTCGAAAACTATTTCAAAGACATTGAAGGAAGTCGGAAAAGTCAAATCTTGGCCCTGATACGAGCAATTTAGTTTAGGTTTTACAGTCTAAAATAAAAACTGCCTGTATCTATAGATCTAATCTTCTAGTCTATATTTCTAAAAAACATTTTTTAAATTGACACCCACACGCTATGTTAAGTTTACACTAATATAAAGATTCTATAGATTTTATAGTTATTCCAAAATAGATTTGAGTGGGATTAATTTGCCGAAAATAGATATCTTCAATGGTTTATAAACAACATTTGTTAAAAGCAAATATATTTCTATCGGCGAAAATTGACTGAAAAAAACACGAAAGCAGAAATATTCCGTTTCCTTCGAAAATCGGAACAGCAAGACTGCTCGTATCAAGGCAATACCCTGAATGTTTTGACTGCGTTTTAATTTCTATGGAGTAGTTTAAAATAAAAAAAATTGATAAAAAACAGAAAAAAAAAGTTAAAAAAACTTTTAATGTTTTTTTTGTTGAAAATCATCCCCCACACGCTATGTAGTGCAAAATGATAATTTTTGCATATATTGAAGTATTAAATAGACCAAAGAGCATGCCTCAACCCAATTTGGAACGATTTTTAATAGGAAATAAATGTCCGCCTACGCATTAATAGCACGAAATATATCGCAGTTTGCAATTGACTTGTAAATTTTAGACTAAACGAACTATATCCTATTCGGCCATTCAAAACAGTTCGCATCATAATCAATCTTATGTTGAAATGAAGTTACGAAAGTGTTTGCCACCTTCAAAATTACACAATTGCTTGATGAATCTAAGGCTACAGTATTTGAATAAACAGAAACCAATAGACCTTCCAGTACAAAAATAAGTATACGAAAAATTGAGAAGTTAGTTTGCAAAAATGAAGGAAGTCTGATGACATTTGAAACAATCTCTATTAATTGCAAAGTCATATTTGAATATAGAATTTTTGATAGGGCAGTTTTTCAGCTTACTATTTGGTCGACCAAATTTAATTTCCGAATTCTCCCTTTTTATAATTGTTAGCAATTTAGTATTTACTGGGTCCCGAATAATCTTAACAACAAAATTGGAGTTCAAATGAATGGCTTAAAATAGTACCAAAAAGTTTCTTTGAGTGGCCAGGTTGCCGAATTACAGAATGCATCCACGAGGAAGTCTCCTTGATGTGCCTCGCTTTAAAAACCACCATGAAGAAATTGTTTGCTCTCTGATCATACAGTGGAAAATCTACAGACTAGATAGTTCTCAGACTGCACGAATTCACCAGTTTTCTTACACACTTTGGCTGGTATGTAGGCCGGATTCTTGACTGCTTCAATCACAAAGCAGTCAACCGGCCAAGAAAGTAAGAAATGGAATAACATAAGCAGGTCAACTTTATCACCTTAGTTATGCTTTGATTGTATCTTTGATGACACTCAATTTCACACACGGCCAATTTTCATCTCAATCGTAAATTTGGTATTAAGTTGACGGAATAGATCCGACTGTATAAGGAAGCCTCTTTAGTGCTGGATTAGATGAATTTCTTAGTAATTATGACTTGGGGTGGGGGTGTGTTGCGCTTAGGAACTTAAGCGCATTGATGCAAGCTGGCAAGTTGGCACAAAAGTGGCGTGACTGGGCCTTTATTAGCTGATCTATTTGGTAGTTTGCTGTCGCAGGGAGCTAGAAGCTGAACTGGACGACCGGTTTAGATGCACCTCCGGGAAATTGGAGGGGTTTGAAGTTTTATTACGGATACTAGCAGAGGCAGCCTTTATCTCAGGTGAGATAAGCTGACTCAAAGTTACATTTTCCTACTACTTCACGCCTACACTGTTATTCTTAGATAAATAAGTGACCAAAAATATGTTTTATGTAAATAATCCTGAGGTTCACAATTTGAAGCCCAGATTGAATTTAAGGGCTGTTGACCAAGGAAACGACTTTGCCTCCAATAGTAAACTAACGTAGGCTTCAAAATTAAAATAAAGAGAGATGGAGAGAGGGGGTTAGAGTGGCGTCATGAGACCAAAGCGACCCCTAAAACCTATATTTTTTCACCTGATTTTATAACCAGGACTATTCTAAATCCAATGATTGATCTCAAGTTAAACAGAGTAAAAACGTGTTATCAAGAAAAAACAAATTTGACATGGACAGCCAATTTTAAACAATTCATCATTTAAAAGCATCAGCTAATTTCTAATTATTACTTTCGAAATATTTGATAATGAAAGAATACATGAGTGCATTGATACGCAGTTCGATTACTTTTTATTTTTGCGCAAATATCTATGGGGGCCAAACTATTATTTCCACACAAAGTTTTGTTTAGTCGAATTATATTAGGTCAAGACTCTTAATGAACATACTACATACCAATATACGAAAGAATTTACAAAGATACGAGCTATTCAGAAACAAATTCTTTTTTTTGTTAACTCTGAGAATTTGTTTTTGTGTGGTTGGTTGTGTGTGTTTGCGTGTAATATATATCACTGGGACGTAGGATGTAGAAAAGTGTCTGCAAAAAGTGCAACAAAAACAGCAAGAAGAAAAATACTCACGGACGAAGTAGGGGTATAGCCATACGAGGAGGAAGAAGAGGACCTGCGGCAGCACCCACGTGGGCAGGATGGACGTGAGTGCCTTCTGCTTTGTGAAGTTGTTCAGGTAGTGCACCTAACACATAAAAGACAAGTGATACTTCTAAACTAAGCATTGTTCCGTAAACGCATCCTGGAAAAGTTTACCCAATTTTTTTTCTCGCAAAAATGATGATGAAAAGATTAGTGCAATCAAAGTTCGAAATCCCACATATAATATCCCGCAATCAAAACCATTCCAAATTGATTTCGAAGCAAAAACTTCAAACTATTTCTGAGTCAGATTAAATGCTCATAAATTAAATCATTAATTATCCCAAGTTGCCAAACATGCTTTTTTCAAATCCTCATATCTCTGCAAAAGATGATCCCAAAGAAAATTTGTTTTAAGTTTGAGCTCATGACATCAGCATTTTTCAGATGATTTCAAAAATGTTGTGAAAAATGACACGTAAAAAGATGAATTTTGTCTGAGAAAAAACGGTGCGAGAAACATTCCGAAAGTTGGAGCAAAAAATCCATTTTGATCAATTTTTTTTCAATGATGACCATACTTAAAAACTGTGAGTTAGTACTGTAAAAATCCTAATAAAAAAGTTAGGAGCATTCAATTTCGTTTTTTATTTTGTGTTGATCTTGTACAAACCAAATACACTGCTAAAAAAAAATCAATTTGAAAGACAACAAATGAGTTAGTCTTCTTAAGGTGTTAGCAATTTTGGCAACATTATGACCTAATTCTTAATTGAACAAGACAGCTCGCATCAAGGCAAAGCTTTGAATGTTCCGACTGCAATTTAACTTCTTTGTAGTAATGGAATAAAATGATTGATTAAAAAACTGAAAAAAAAAATTCAAATTTTTTTTGATGTTTTTTTTTTGAAAAACATCCTCTCACAACGCTATGTAAAGTACAAACTGATAAGTTTTGGATA